ATGGTGCCCAAGAGTTGTGGAGATAGGAATTTCATAATAATTCACTTACATATATTTTTCCATTAGCATTATGTGAAACTTTCATTTTGATAAACGATCAGAATCAAATGGTTTCAGAGAGTCTTGGATGGATATGAAATTTGATTCAAAAGTGCTTCGTTACCAGTACTCACTAGTACCTTTGTATATAGTCTAGTCTATATACAAAGCTAGTACTGTAACTACTATTGTTATTACTACTACTGCTGCTGCTGCAGAGACTGTATGTGCCGCAGTATTCAAAACAATCCAAAAGAGTACAATTTTTTATTGTTCTATTGGAAATATAGAATTTTTATGAATAGGAAGTAAAAATGAGACTACGTCTGAAAAATGAATATTTAGCTTTCCCGGCTAATACCACACTGAACATTGAATTATATCTGACAGACATTTCATGCATGCAAGATACCTCCGACCTCCGAGGTTAGTCCTGTAGATTGATTCCGTAGTGCTGAAGTTTCTGTAACAGTATTTCATGAGTCACAAGGATGTGTCCCCATTCAGTCGAGGAATCGGCGAGTTTTTGATAGCGCGGAAACTCACGAAAATCCGTTAGTTAGGGAAGCTAAAGATTATGCTGTAGACGACCCCTTCCGATATAGAAGGCCACGACACTCTGTTGAATGAGGCCCTCGTGTCCCCCGTTAAAGGACGAATAGATTTTTCATCTATCCCACCCCAACCAGGTAGGGGTACCCCGTGAAAGGCGGTACTAATGTCTGAGGACTTCACACCGCCAATATTCCCTAAGTCATGAACTCATTTGTCCTTCTTCGACAATAATCAGCCAAAAGGGTAAGGGAGCTGGGCTCCAACCTGTTTGAAATCAAGATGGCTATCGGTCACAAGGATGTTATCCTTTTAAAAAAATATCACCTCTTTGAGGCTAACTAATCTTTCCATTATTTCAGCTAGTGTAGGTATGAGAGCTATTAATCTATAATTTACTGGGTCATTCCGAATAACGTCAATAAGGCGCTCTAAGAGCGGTGCCCGTACGAAAGTAGCGATTGACAATGGATTTGAGTCGCTGAAGATGAAATCCATTTGGAAAAACGTTATCAGGATAGTTTTTCCACATAAACGCAGTTCTCCAAATAGAAAGAGGTCTTGAACAATGAATTTCGAGGTGTACTGAGTTGAATATGTACCGCTCTTAGTGGAGTCAACGGTGCCAAGTCACTTGAACACCTCCTGTGAAAGTATCTATGAAAGAGAGACAAATCTACAACCTTTTTTTCGATGTTTTAGACTATTAAGGTTGCAAGTGATGTTCGTGTCTCCAATCAGGCGGATGACTCTTTTCTGGATCGGATAGAATCCAGCAGCTTCTGGTTATGCTTTGGGGTGGAGCTCCCTCCATACATGAGAACAATACTCCAAAGCAGGTCTGATCTGAGCTTTATAAAGCATCGAAAGTTGCTGAGGTGTGTATACAGTTTTCTGGTTCGGAACATTCTTCCAAGCTCTTAAGAAGCAGCCTTTGCAATTCCAGCGACATGATTGCGCCAAGACATATTATTGGTGCCAATTTTTCGGAGAAAACTGATGCCTGGGTTTTTGTGGCATGAAATTGAACCTGGTTACTTTCTCCCCAATTCGAAATCACTTCTAGATCCTCATTAAGATATACAACCTCCTGCTTGCTCAGCCGATGTCTTGGAAACCAGGACCTGGATTACAGGTAAAAGGACGGGCCAGGTACCAAGAATGGAGAGAGAATGGGACAAGGAAGTCTGAGGACAGGGTGAAAGGAGTAGATAGGATATTCCCCTGGTTGCAAGGGAAGTTGCTGGAGGAGAGGGAGGACGAAGGGGTGAGTGAAGTAGGTATATGTAGATGCCGGAGCGAGGATGGAGGAAGAAAGAATGGGTAATAGGCTGGGCATATAAGACAGCGTGAAAATAGTCAGTGACTCTGCAATGGTGGTAGAAAGAGTGAAAGCAGGAAAAGTGGGGAGTAAAAGGGCAGTGATAATTCAGCGGATGATTGAGGAAAGGAATGGTAGGGGAGTATGTACCCTGATTACGTGGAAGAGGGGGCACGATTGGAACAATAAAGGAAATGCGAAGGCTCACGAAGAAGCCACCAAGGGCATGAATAGAGCAGACATTACTTGGGAAGTAAGGTAGACATATAGCAAAAGGATGAGAGGAAAAGAATAAAAGAGAATATTAGGAGAGAATGGCAGATGGAGAGAAGTACGACTGGACGGTTGCTCAACAGGTTCTGCAGAACAGTCGGATAGGAATCCTTGGATCTGTCGCGGAAGGCTGTCCAACTGCTTACTGGGCATGGAAACTTTCCGGAATACCTGGCAAGATTTGACCTGGGCCCGGAGGTTTCCTGTCCCTGTGAGTACGGAGAGCCTGAAACGACAGAGCACGTGATCGATAGATGCATGAACTGGGACAGGATTGAATGGAGATAATGGAACGAGAGGACGGAAAGGATGAATGGCGAAATCATGCTGAGAGATACAAATGGGAAAAATGATGAATGGATACGTTTTGTTAACAACTGGGCGGAGATGTGGTGAGGGAAGAAAGGGAATGATAGATGTGGAGCTGCACTCAAACAAGCGTGGCAAACAATAAAAGGAGGGGATATAGTTTCGTCAATCATGGCTGGAAGCGAAACTGCTAGACTGTAAACGCATCCGTTTACAGTCGTTATGTGCAACATAACATGTACAACTTATATGTATAGGAGTTGGGTAACGAAAAACAAATTTAAGTATAATTTGTTTGATTAATGCTGGAGTAGCTATAATGTATTGAGTTTTTTTATTTATGTTTTTGCTATTAGGTACGATTAGTGTTCAAGGAGCCATAATGTTTAGAGTTCATGATTGATGTTATATGTATTTATTTTTTGGTGAAATAAAAGAAAAAAGAGGGTCTTCTACCCCGTTGATTCGTCTCTCCGTATGACCGTCGCCTTGTAACGGTGGTTCGGGGAGGGGGTGAGTTTGACAGTGGGGGCGATAGATAATGGGAAGATGCCTGATGTAAGGCCTACCGGCTAGGGCATCAAAGGCAAAGACGTTATTCATGTCCATATATGGGTAACATATGATAGTGTGGAGTGGGGTGCAAATTTTTCAACTAGTAGATTTGGTTTTTCCATTGCTGTTGTTGCAATTGAACCATTTGCAATTGAACCATCCGATTGTGTTAGCAGTGGAATTGTGGATTTTGTAAAGTTTCGATTAACATCTCCTTTATGAAGTGGAATTGAGACTGATTTCTTTAGAAAATCGGAGAAGGATAGGATTTCACTTACATGGATGACAGTGTGTTCCATGTAAGTGAAATTTTTACCTTTCATTTAGTATATTGTGTAGAAATCCTGTGAATGATATCTGATTCAATTCCAAAATGAATGTTTGGAATACAAACTAAGTAGTATAATTCAGTATTCATATACCTAAAAGTATTTTTTTCGAAAGAATTTTCCATTCGTGTAATTCGATGTTTAGATGAAAGTAGCTGTTTCAGGAGGGCTTTTTCTTAGAGTTTGTGTCTTAAAGTTACTTCTTTGCATGATCTATACATCTATGTATAGAGTTACTTCATTCAAAACTGATTGATTCCTTCTTTTCTTTGGAAGATTCGCACATTTTTTTGTATCAAGAAGGAGTAGTAGGTAGGAAGCCAAAAACTTTCATTCCCAAAAAATTTGTCTCTTCTAAAAATAAAACCCTTTCAATTTATAATATGGGAACCTAGTGAAATAAAATAGGCTAAACTGTTCCTAAATATAAGTTTATTCATAAAGGTAGTCATGGTTATTTGAAATAACAGAGTGAACATCTTATAGCACTTCTAAACAGAGAATATCCAATTTTTTCATAAAAATTATGTTTCATACAGTTTTTGAAAAATGAGTAGGTAAGTTTTCATTCCATTGACAGACGTGAACTGGTAAAAGATAGTGGTAACTTCTAAATCCTAAATCCAAATCCAAAATTCGCTTCATCGTTAACTTCCCGAACTTTAAAACTCATATCGCACTAAATAGCCACTACAATGCTTGAATCAAATCATTCAAAATCTAAAAATATATCTTTCAAGGCTACTCTGGTAAATACTCTGTTGGCCAACCCGTGGAAGATGATTCCGAAGCTTTCTTCATATCCATCTCGCACATCATTGAACACCGCGTCCCAGTTTTCGTTGAGAACTTTGTTGAGTTCCGCTCCTAACCTTTCATCGCCATCGAAGAGGTTATCGAATTTGTAGAGCATTCTCTCGGGACGTAGAGTTACAGTGTAGCTCTTGATTTTCCAATAGTTATTGCCCTTCTTTTCGAAACTTTCTGCCATTATGGTGTGGTTGATTTTGGTATTAACTGAAAAAAAAATCGAAAAAACAATTATATATTAATCACTAATTTCCTTGATACTTTTGTAACACCCGGTATAGCAGACTGAATTTCATCTTCAAGAGGAAGATTAGACAGATCTTCCTCGAAACACGTGTCGAGGTGTTAAAATAACGATTTGGTGTTGGAAAAAAACTCCAGTGGAAGATCAGTTTGATCTTTCTCTTGAAGATGATCACTTGGTGATCGAAATACATGTCGAGGTGTTGAAATGATCACTTGGTGATTGAAACACGTGTCGAGGTCTTGAAATAATGGTGTGGTGGACCTGAATTGTAAAACTTAGCATAATTGTAATGCGATGAATGTAAGTAGGTTACAAAATTTTAGATTTGTTCTTGGCAAAAGGTTTCGCCGTAGATCTGTGCGACTTAAAATCGCCCTAAATTGGAAAAACTGAAGGGTAAGCCTAATACACTTTCAAACGATAAAGTGAAGTCTATAGAATGAAGGTACTCAAATATATCAAGGAGATTACGTGGAACGCCATCTGTCTGCGAATATATCAAGCAATAATGCCGATAATTCCGGCAACACAGATTCCGAGCTTGAGAGTTACAAACAAGCAAACAAACAAACAAATAAACATACATACATAAAGGTGAAGCTAACAAAAGCGTGTTAAAAAAAGCCCAGAATGTTTTGAAATTTCATGAGGTTGTTGTTTCAGCATATGTCTAAAATGAATCGAACTTACTCAAAGTGACATTGAATAGTCCATCACCTACAATTGGCAGCAGAAGTACTTTTCCTTTCACAGTATATTTACCCTGTAATCTCAGTTCTGGGGTTGTTGATCGTGCCGTCATCATTTTTTTGTCTTGGTCCATGCTAAAAGATAATTTGAAATTAGCGATTATTTTTTGACGTTCCGGACATTTTTTCACGAACCCCTTCTAAACAGTATTTTATTCGGAAAGTAAAAATGAATTTATTTTAGAAATCCCGGATTCACAATATACAGGGGGTATTCAGAAAATTAATGTTTTTCTTCCTGATACCTATGTTGATTTGGCAAAGTGGTACGGTGAAAATTATTTAATTGAAAAAAATATTACTTACTGAACCTCGTGTACTATGGATTCCGTCAGTCCATAAAGATCGACGTCTCTGAAATGTTGAACTACATTCACAGGACCTTTTCCTTCACCTATGACCAATTCGGGGATGTGAAGGGGATCAAATGTGTCGAATCCAAGTTCTGGAGATCCTGGAGTGATGAAAAAGTGAATATATAAATTGGAAATTACATCTAACTGACATATGTCGGATATAATCCAACGCCTTTCGTGGTATTAGCCAGGGGAGTAGTTGCTTTCTGATAGTGTAGGGAGTTAAGACTGGCCTGAACAAATTGTTCCTTCAGATGATTTGTTTTATAGAAAAGTTTTCTTTTCTTTTGCGAGGAATTGGCCAAATTTGGATATGCTGTTGGTTACCTCGTTCACAGGCAGATGGGTCGATGACAAACATGTTGTTTGTTGTTCACTTCAGCTTAGTTCAAAGAATGCTACTCTGAAGAAATTCGACTTTCAATTATCGGAAATCATCGACTTTAGTTTGATGATAGGCACTACCTCTTGCACTGACGAGTGGCCAAACATCCCAAAACCGACCTGCAAGTGTGTTCCAGTAATTGAAAATCTATTGCGGCAGTTGTATCGCCAACAGTATATGCAGGAATAACTTCAGTGAAGAATCCTGCACTGACACATGTCGGATATAGTCCAACGCCCTTCGTGGTATAAGCCAGGGGAGTAGTTGTTTTCTGAAAGGTGTCAGACTATTAACCTACAGTGTAGAGTGAGACTAGCCTGAACGAATTGTTCTTTTAGATGATTTACTCAGCGATGATAGAATTTTTATTTCTTGTGGTTCTAATTTCAGGCATTATCTTTCAGCAAGTGAAATCATTGAAATTGAATAATGAACGCACAAAAACTGTTTTGAAAAACGTGATAGACCTTTGAACTCTGAACATATTTTGATCATGGTGTTTTTGTGAATTTTTCTGATGAGATCACTTATCAAATGGAGGGCTAGTCATCAGAGGTCAACTAGGGAGATACTGTGTTCCAAGGTTTGCGACTGGCAAGCTACTTATACCGTGTAATCATATGAAAAATTACATTATTTGACAGTAGAATGGCCCGCAAGATTATCTGACTTGGCCCCGTTGGATTTTTTCGTGAAACCCTCACACATTGCCACCAAACAAAGAAATGGTTAGGTTTACCAAAAATTTGGTTTCCTGACATTCCGTTAATGAAATGCTAGTTTCTACGTAAAGTCATCTAGCCTTCATCAACGAGGAGCAAACACCCTGAGAATGGTCTGTTCTTCTGTTCGATGTTTTTCATAATTTCCGAAAATTTATAATGAAGTGTTTGAGATGGGACTTTTGTTTCAGTCAAGTTACATGCAACACAGGACAGAAATATCAACCTGCCTAGGAACCTATGCGACTGTATTTCAAGCGGAAATTTACGCTAGTATCGTACAGTCAAGTGGCGTTGGAAGCCCTTGGCTCCTATCGAGCAATGTCTAAATTGGTAGCAAATTGCCAAAAACGACCCTCTTCGATAGGAAGACTTAACTGATTGTCTCTGGTCTTGATTCCTGGCCATACTGGCCTGAAAGGCAATGAGGCTGCTGATTTCCTTGCAGAGGTCCTTGCGGACCAGAACCTGTCATTAGCATCACTTCAGGCTTTGCCAAACAAACATTGAACACTTGGATGGCAAGAAGATTTATAGACTTCTGGCAGAATCTTCCAGGATTGGCTCACTTCAAGGCGTTTATTCACCCTTCGAAGCTTGATACCAAACAGTTGTTGGACTACAGTAGGGTTGAACTACGATGTCTAACAGGACTTCTTGCAGGTCACTGTCATTTGAATCATCATATGCAGAGGCTCGGACTCTCGTAAGACGGTGTGTCGCCTCTGTTTGGAAAATGATGGAACAGCAGAGCATATACTTCGTGTCTACATCGCTGGGGACTGAATTAGATGGTAAGAGTACGGCTCTGCCAGTTTGGCAGAGATGGTAAGAGTACGGCTCTGCAGTTTGGCAGAGATTGTAAGAGTACGGCTCTGCCAGTTTGGCAGAGATGGTAAGAGTACGGCTCTGTCAGTTTGGCAGAGATGGTAAGAGTACGGCTCTGCCAGTTTGGCAGAGATGGTAAGAGTACGGCTCTGCCAGTTTGGCAGAGCCGTACTCTTACCATCTTACCATCTCTACGGCTCTACCAGTTTGGCAGAACTAATCGGTTTTTTTAAGAAGCTGGGTTTATTTGGTCGAGTGCGAATAGGTGTGAGCCACAAAAAACCCTTGCGGGTTGCGGTGGGGGGTCGAATAGACCCACTCACTTTGGACTTAACCTAACCTAACCTACATGCAGAAATGTGAAAAATTTGAATCAGTCATAAGTGCAAATTTGATTATAGTAATTCCTAATGAAATAAATATCTTACCGGCTTTCAGAAAGTGGATAGCCCCCTCTACGTTTTTTCTCAAACATTCATCTATTTCTGGATCTTTCACACTGCATCGTCCAAATGCACTAGCTGAAAAAACGAAAGAAAATACATATTTAGTCAAAAGTTTGTCAACATAAAGAAGAGAAGAAATATTCGAATGATAAGTTACTATATTTTTATATTTTGAGTGAAACGCGTCTTAAATGAAATTCATTGTGGAAATTCTATTGTTATTATCATTATTATTATCATCAAGGATGGTGTTATTGATTTTTATCAAGTAAGTAGTCAGCGTATTCATAATTTTGAGTGTGACTTTTACATAATTTCTCAGTAATTCCCTCAGCAATAATGATGATACAGTGTGTAAAAGCCAAATAGAATAAATGCATTACTTCGGTTACTGTACATATTTAAAAAAATCCCGAAACACGTCAAATGTAAATTATAGTTTGACATTCTTCAATATAAAAATGCCACCCCAACCTTCAATCCCCTTTGAATGACAGGTACAACCCTCAATTTTTTGAATGAGAAATATAGGTTTGTGATATATCGTTTGAAAGGTCTCACAGAAATTATTTACAGTTTTTTAAAAAAATAACATTGCTATGGTTTTTGCTTACTTTCTTATTATCAATACCTCAACATGAAATAAGTTTTGAGTATATTGCAATAAGTTTTGAGTGTATTTTATCGAATTTCGATAACCACATGATTTTAATTTATTTAATCAACTATTTTCTGTGATTTTTTCAAAATCTGATTCAAGAATACAGAATTTGACAGCAATAACAATTTTTTTCGAAAAATTTGCCTCATACCAATTTATAAAATGAAACATACCAAATTAAAAAATGAATGCATCTTTCATGATGACTTCTTGTTCATTTTAACTGTGAGAACTGTGACAAAGACTATCTTGATTGAACGAGCTATAGAAGCTCATTTCAAAGATCATATGGCCAATATATAATTTCTCAGATCGTAAAGGCATTGCGTTGAAGTAAGATAACCAAAATGGTTGGTAAGGGACTAGTCAATAAAAATACTACTACTACTGAGGTGAGCTCAGAAAAAAGGACCACAGGTGATTTAACAGACAATTCATTATGAATTGAGAATATGAGGAACTTGGCTATAAGATAAGTAATTTATAAACAGTCAGATTATGTTTAGAAGAACATTCAGCAAATGACCAGTACAGACTAGTTTAGGAAATACGGTTTTTGAAACCGAAATATAGAGGGGGAAGTGTCACAAGATTTTTTACGTCCGCACTGTATAGTTTCTAACGAAAAACAAGAATATAAATACCTACTAGGAAAGTAAAAACGAATGTATCCCTCTAGACATTTGTTATTTACCAAAAAATGTTATATTTTTCAAAAGTTTATTTTAACAAAATGAAAGTGATTGAAACGCATAGAACTTTGCACACTAACTTTTAGTTGTGTTTAGAGCTCTGGACTAGTTTGCTAAAGGTACCAGGTTCAATTTCGGGTCGAGTTACACCAGTTACAACAGTTTTTTTCCATTCTTGTTATTCAATTTAATGCCATCATTTTGATTCGAGAGATCCTTTACAAATAATTCTCAATTCAAAAGATCCCTGCCATGAGAGAAAAGGTATAGTATTCTACACGCGAAAAATGGCCAACATTCGATTGAATGAGTTGAGGCACTTCGTCTTCCGTCAATCAATCGAGTAATAACCGTATTTGTCGTTCGTTAAATAACATACCATTATTATATTTATCACCGACCGTTACTATAAAAAATTAGTAGTTTGGAAATCAACAATTGCTCGAATGAAAAAACTAAAGAGATTCTGGTGGAATTCCAGTAATGTTAAATGATTCACAGTGAAACCTAATTTACGTAAAATAGTTCGCTTTTTGTTCTGACGTCAAAATTGGATCGGATGTAAAACACATAACTTTTTGCTGTATGTATTTAATTGCCATAATTGTTTCTATTCCATTCTTTTTTTTGTTGTAACGTACTCACAAAGTGGAAAAAATATTTATATTATCACGAAGCAATTATTAAACACACTGTTTTCAAATGTACACAACAAATACATAGAATCCTATTTGAAACATACGCTTTTATGGTTACTTAATGTGTTACAATTTTTATCAACTTCCAGAACTAAGACTGGTATCAGAAATTTTAACCGTAATGCACCTGATTTCGATTTTGTGGGGTTTTCATTAAAATATGCCCCAACTCATTTCATGCTTAGAAATAAATGAATGGGAGGTAATGATAAATGAGAATTTCAGTGACGCACTTGAATGTTTTTCTGACTCATATCCATATCGATACTCATTGATATTCAGATCAAGCTCGCCTTAAATATATCAGATCTCAACCAGCGGAATCTTGTTAAAAATATTGTCACGTAAATCAGAATCACAGACGAATGATAAGGAAACTAATGACGTAATGCATTCCTTAGAGTTGTGGGAAGTTGCGTCAAACAATGGATAAAATGTGATTATTGGCATTTGATCTAACTTGACGAAAGGTAGGGATATAGCCAGAAATACTTTTCCCAAATTCAATTACCTTTCACGTCTGTATTCCACCAACCAGGCTGGTGTCATCAGGATATTGTAAGAATGTATTCCTGGGCATTAACTTGGCTAATTTGTATTTGGGTGATGGAATTGGTTGGTACTTGATGAAAATCCATAACATATTCAAATAACATTTCATAATCTGTATCTGTAGTGTAGGGAGGGTAAGTGTTAACCCACAGCACTTAGGCCACATGTGACCCATTGTACATCCTCCCGAGGAGTTGTCCTCCTAGGTCATCGCCCATCATGTCCTTTCCAGGAAGGTGGACAGGTCACTGGGAGATATCTCCCATCGTCATCCTCCTCAGGGAGGATGACGATGATGTCATTCGTCGGGCTTCTGTGGAAGAATTAAAGGGCTATAGCAAGGCCGCAAAGGCAAGAAAGCTCCGGAGGTTGACTCAATAACAAACAAATTATTGAAGAAGCTCCCGGAAAACTGCGTTGAGAGCCTACTGTCCATCATAAACAGCTCGCTGGCTCTAAGATACTTCCCCAGAAGGTGGAAACATGCGATCGTCGTCATGCTCCCAAAACAGGGGCAGAACCGGCTTTTCCCGCAAAATTATCACCCGATTAGTCTGCTCTCGTCGGCGGCTAAGCTGGCTGAAAGAGTCGTACTTCAAAGGCTCGACGAAGAAGATCAGGACCGAAATGTTCTGCCTGACGAGCAATTCGGCTTCAGGAGAGAACATTCCACTGAGTTGCAGGCTCTGAGACTGGTCGAAAATACCATCGCGGAGCTAAACAGGAATAAAAAAGTTCATCTAGTCTTATTAGACATTTCGAAGGCCTTCGACCGTGTTTGGCATGAAGGCCTTCTACACAAACTAATCGCATTCAACCTGCCTCGGGGCCTGATCCGGTGGATTGGGTCTTTCCTGAAAGACAGAACATTTCAGGTTAGAGTAGAGGGCTCTCTCTCTGATAACAGAGAGATCCTTGCCACAGGGGGCCGTGCTCTCTCCCACGCTTTACTCCCTTTACACCAGCGACCTTCCAAGGTCCGAGCATGTGAAGGTATCTCTTTACGCCGACGACACGGCTCTCCTCTCGTCTTCCAGGGGTCGGGAGCTCGGGATCGTCTATATGCAACGTGGATTGGGCGACCTCGAGCGCTGGTACCTCGAGTGGAAGATCCAAGTGAACCCGGAAAAAACTCAGGCAATAACCATGGGAAGAACGATATCTTCCCCGGCTAGGAAAATGAAAATCTCTGAAAGGGAGATTGACTGGCAGACGCGGGTCAAGTACCTCGGTCTTCTTATAGACCGTAGGCTCACCTGGAACCCGCACCTGTTAAGCGTGAAGGCAAAGATTCAGGGTCGTGTGGCAAGCCTGTACCCTTTGATTAATAGAAAGTCCAAGCTAAGCCTAAAGAATAAAATCAGGATCTATAACACGATGTTCAAGTCTGTCATCATGTACGCTTCAGGCGTTTGGGGACAAACGGCTCCGACTAACATCTCCATCTTGGAGACCTTACAAAATAAAATTCTACGGATGATTGTGAATGCTCCGTGGTTCGTGCGGAGTGAAGCCATCCGCAGAGATTTGAAGCAGCCTTCCATTCAGCAGTCCATCCAGTCGAGGAATCGGCGAATCCATTAGTTACGGAAGCTATAGATTACGCTGTAGACGACCCCTCTCGATATAGAAGGCCCCGACACTCTGTCGAATAAGGCCCCTATGTCCTCCGTTAACAGATGAATGATATCTTCATCCATCTCACCCCAGCCAGGTAGGGGTACACCGCGAAGGGCGGTATGGGTGTCTGAGGACTTTCATGCCACCATCAAAAATCAGTCATGACTCATTTGTCCCTCTGACGAAAATCAACCCAAAGGGTAAGGGAGCAAGGCTCCAAGCTGACTTAAACGACGATGACCATCGACTGTTATCTGACTATAATTCATATTTAACATGGTTAAGGTGCACATTCACTTTCAGTCAAATAAAAGAAATGGTGTGTGAAGGAAAAAATGGATTATTTACAATGGGCCCTTCATAAATATGCATAGCTCCCTTGCTATGCAATATTCCCGTTTTTTGCTATACTTTTTTCCCGTTTTTGCTATTTTCAGTCTGGGCAAGCTAATAGAGAAACTGATTGAAATAAGATTGACAAATTTTTCAAATAATAATAATAATATTACGAGCAAAGGCCAGTTCGGCTCTCAATCAAAAAAAGAACACCCACGATGCTATATTTTCTTTGTTATAAAATGTTTATAGTGGTTATTTGTTGTATTTTATAATTTTGTATATTGAAAAAGTGCTTCAGTGGTCGCAAAACACTGTCCTTTAAACATTTTGAGAGCTGAAACTTACCATCCTCTTCAGAACTGAAAACTATATGATGGAATTGGCCGATGCTTGATGAAAATCCATAAATAATGTATTCAAAAAACACTTTTTTGTGATATTTTCACTAAACGATTGTACAAAAACGCAACACGTGTTTTGCCATACAATGGCTTCTTCGGGCTTGTCTTTACTCAATAATTCTACATATTCAATGCCTAATATACCTGTTTTTACCTAAGTGTGTAATGAATCAAATTACCTAAGCTTAGGTCCCTTTGGCTAACCCTTTTCCTTTTATTTATAAAAGTATTTTTTATGCATAATAATCGATATTATTATTATTATTATTATATACCTAAGAAAAGCCAAGTTAATCGGAAAGTATGCCACTTAGAAACTTAGAATGAATAGAATATTCATGACTCACCTTCAAAAAAGGAAAAGGTTCTAGATGAAAAA